TGGCTAATGAAAAGAAAATAGGATTTCACCGAGTCTCCTGTCTACCTACTCCAGGACTTCTGTGAGGATCAAATGAGATGAGGCATGGGAAAACGCTTCACAGACATTTTGTTAAAGTGTGAAATGTTTGCACCTGGCTATAAAGCAAGTCGTGTTTCTGGGCTGAAGAAATTGCAAGGAGGCTAGTCATTACTAGGGAGAAGAAGCCAGCTGTTGCTATGTGTCGTCATTACCTGGTGCCCACAGCGACCATTTCTGGGCTGGGCTGTGGGCCACATTTTGCGCCATGGGGTCTCAGCAGTGTTGGCTCCAATTTGGTGGGCTGTTGCTCCAGGGTGGTGGCAGGGCCTTTGTCCCAGTTGGGGAAAGCCGAGTGTTGCTTTGTGGGCGCCAGGTCTGCAGTGCCATTTCTCTGTGCACATCACGGCAACTCCTGCATTGAGCATCTGCCCCCTGATAGGTCAGTGCGTGTCTTAGTGACCAGTCGGGCAGTTGGACACTTAGCACATTAGCCTTTTATATATATAGATATTTAAAATTATTGTTTATATTTATGTAAACATACATAAATAATACCCATTTAGGAGCCAGCCAAATAGTATACTATGATTGTTTCTTTTCCTATGCAACTTTTGGTTTTCCTGCAGTTAATGATTACCTCCTTTTTTTCATGGCTTAATTTTCTTTGAGCATTGTTCTACTTTTGTTTCCATAAACTTCAGTAGACTTTATATACAAATTTATATGTGGTGAAAATTACCAAATAATTTTTTAGGCCCCTTATCCCCTTTTTTCAACTATTGATCTTATTTCTAGAGTTTTCTGCCTTGCTCTAATGTAGGCTACCTGCTATTTTGGCCTGTGAGCCAGATTTAATTTAAAACTTTCTTTTGCTGCCCTCCATTGTTAGAACTCTTGTTTCCCAAATCCCATGTCTTCTTTTTAATCTGTCCTCTTAATGGTATTATTGTCTCTTGAGTAAGAATATATGATGTATGGGAATGTATGTTTTGGACATTTATGTTCTAAAAATGATTGAATAAATAAGTAAAATTTATGATTGAAAGAAATGTTAGATAAATAAAAATGACACAAACTTTATAAAGAAATTTCAGGAAAGTCACTAGTTTGTTAAAAGATAAAGTTAACTATAGAGTTAATACCGGAATAAGATATAGTTTTTGAGTTAAACATCAGTTCTTTACTAGCCTCTAGAGTTAAATAGGCATCCCACTGTATTTTATTTATATATTCATTGCTTTTGCCTATAATTTCTGGCTCTAGTAGCACACAACATATGCTACCAATCCACATATATTTTATTCAGCATACATGTTTCATTCACTGGACTGTGAACTCTGTTTTATTCGTTTGTCACTACTTTAGCCCTAATGTCCCTAGATTTTGATGTGTGTATGCATAGTAGGGGAGGCTATGCTATTAACCTGGAAATGCCAGACCTTTGAAAAAGGTGTTAAGATTGAACAGCTTAGGGCATTTGGTGTGGAGACTGGTACTAGAATGTTTATGAATTTAGATTTTGGCATTAGTGATTCATATTTTCATTCAACAGATGTTTTTCAAATGCCTACTTCATGCCAGGCACTGGAGAAACAACAATGATTATAACAGATCCTACCCACATGAAGCTCAACTCAACAGTAATAAATAAATGCATTCTTAAAATGTTAGATGGTAATAAGAGCTGTGATAAAGTGTGGTGAGTGGGATATGGAATGCTTGGGAGGGTAGAATGGGGAAGAAAGGCTCTACTGATAAGGTGCCATTTGGCCTGAGAAGATGAAATCTGAGGAAAGAGTGTTCCAGGCTACTACTAGTTGGTTTTCTCTGGCATGCAATCATTGCCTCTAGCTAGCCCTTTCTTCTAAAGACGACATCACCAAACTTGATATCAAACCTAAGCTCAGAATCACCTAGAGGACCTGTTAAAACACAGCTTTCATCTGTCAGCCCCACCCTCAGTTTCTGATTCAACAGGCCTGGAGTGGGGTCTGAAAATTTGCATTCCCACCAAGTACCCAGGTGGTGCTAATGCTGCTACTCTGGGACAACACTTGGAGAACCACTGACTTACACCATTTGTGACACATTAGGTGGCCAGAAATAAAGCAAAAGGGTCTGTTAAGAGCAAGGAACATAGCTCTTTACCCCACAGAGGTATGAATCTTATATAGGCCCTCAAGTCGACTGACTAGTACACACTAGCTTTTTTGATTCTCTCCCAGATTCCTTGTTTATAATTGTGTTTTTAGCTGTATCCTGATAAGAAAATAAAGTCCGCCATTTTCATCCAGTTCAATAGAGTGTTTGAGGGAATATTTAATACCTGCCACAGTCCAAATTGCTGTAAGGAAGAATAAAGGAAGGACAAAACCAAATTCTTTCTCACAGTGCACTTCCAATCTAGTTTGGGTATAAGAGCAGAACACATACGTATACAAAAAAGCTAAGATGAGACCTGGGAGTCTCCTAATACATGAGGCTTGGAGTTGCAAATTTCAAATATTCACATTTATTCATTTAACAGTATTAACTGATTGCAATTTTAATTGGCATTTCTCTTGCATGTGCTTTTTCATATGTTTGAGCCTTTTGTATTTCCTTTCAATCAACATGTCCTTTGTTTTCCTATTGAGTTCCTGACCTTTTCCTTATTGATTTGTAGGTACTGTTAATATATTTAAAAAAGTAAACTTTTGTGATTTGTGATGACTGCTTTCCTATTTTTTGCACATTTGCTTAAAAATAATTCTTACTTTTTATGATAGTTGTTCAACAATTTTTTATTGCCATATGTAACTTTTATTTTTTTGAGTTTAAGTTTATTAGTCTTTTATGGCTTTGAGTTTTGTCTTATTTTCAGAAAGGCATCCCTAACCCTGAGATTATTAAAACAAAAACGAACTCTAACTTTTCTTCTCACTTTAGGGCTCCTTTAAAATTTTTTGACCCATTTGGCATTCGATTTGATGTGGGAAATAATTTTCAGATGGCTTCCCATCAACATTTATTGAATAATCCACATTTTCCCCAATCATGTGCATATAGTGTCACCTTTAGCTTTAACTAAATTCCTGTATATACTTGGCTTTGTTTTGGGATTGTACCATGTGTGTCTCCATTTATGAATCACTACACTTTTTAAGTGACTTTTAAAAGTTTAAGTTTTAAAATATTTTAAGGCTTTTAAATAATTTGTTCATTGTTGCTTTTTAATTTTTCCATATGTGAAAGGTTAACATGGCTGATGCATGCAGACGGGCTAAATAGCCATCTCAGATGGTACTTAAGAAAAATTAAAAAATTGAATTTATTTAAGGAAAAGGATGACGGATGGAATAACCAAAGGGAAGGGGCTGCACAGGGGACATTGGGATGATGATGGCAGCACTCAAGACCTAGAGTTTCATCCTTGTATGCAGTCACTGGCGGGCAGCTCTTGTTGTCAGTGGGTCTGGGGGCTGGTGAGCTTGGAATGCTCATGGAATGCAATTGTGCAATCAGGTGTCTTTAGGACAGTTTCAATTCCTTATATGGTCTGATTCCTGGTGTCCAACAAGTTTTTCCTGGCCTTTCTCCTATGGGGGGAAGCTTACAAATGGCCTTTAATGATTGTATTGCTCTATAGTCCTAACAATATGTTCTTTAGAATCATTGTGTATGATGTTTTTAAATATATTTTTATTGATTTCAGAAAGGCAGGGAGAGGGAGAGATAGAAACATCAATGATTAGAGAGAATCTTTGATCAGCTGCCTCCTGCACGCCCCCTACTGGTATCGAGCCCACAACTCGGGCATGTGTCCTTGACCGGAATTGAATCCAGGACCTGTCAGTCTGAAGGCCGACATTCTATCCACTGAACCAAACCAGCTAGGACTATGATGCTTTTAAAAAACACACTGTTGGTATTTTAATTGGGCTTGCATAATTTTTAAAGATTTATTTAGGGAGAAATAAAATCATTGTAATTCTTTTTAAGAACATGGCTTTGCTTCTCATTTGTTTCAGGCACTTTTTAGTGTACTATTTAAAATACTCTCTGCATAGCTCTTATTTTATTCTAATCATCTTACCATTTTTGTTATAAGTGGGATTGTTTCCTTTCATTATATCATCTTACTAGTAGTTTTTATAGAAGCCCATGGGTTTCAATTGATTATTTTCTACATGCACCTACATTACTAAAATTCCTCTATTTTTATAATTGTTTACAATTAATTTTATTGGATTTTCCAGGTATCCACTCATATCATTTGCAAATAATAGTAATTTAATTTGCTCTTCTCTATTTTTAAACTTATTTGTTTCTGAACTAATGACACTGGCTCCCACCTCCAGAACAAGGTAAAATATTTGTGGTGAAAAATGAACACCTTGTTTTGTTTCTGATTATCAGTACTTCTAGGGTTTCTTTATTATTCATGATGCTGGTATTAAATTGTATTGTTTGTATCTTATCATAGCAAGGAAGTTGGCATAGTATTTGTTTCAAAATAAAAGATTTTAAATCTTATATTGACAGAAAAGTTGCAAGGACAATACAAAGAATTATTTTTGTCCTGAACCATGTGAGGGCAAGTTGCTAGCCAGCCTGATGGTCCATAGCCTCCCACAAAATACTTTAGGGTTTATTTCCTATAAACAAGTACTGTTCTATGTAACCACATATAGCCATCAAAGTCAGGAAACTAACATTGACATGTTAACTATCTCCAATCCTGCGACCCCATTCATGTTTTGCCAGTTGTCCCAGTGACTTCCTTTTATAGCCAAATCTAGTCCAGAATCATACATTAAGCCCCCTTTTTTTCTTGCAGTCAATGCCTTCCTATATACCTGCATACTTTGTGACAGATATGTAAAGGAAATGTTTTTTTCATCTAACTGTCCTATCTTCCAAAGATTCTTTCCTCAACTGAGTTTTAAAAAAAAATTATTTGCTCTAAACTGAGTTTTATCTTTCTTTTCCCTACTCAGGCCCAGATTGCATTTCTTCAGGGTGAAAGGAAAGGCCAAGAAAATTTGAAGAAGGATCTTGTGAGGAGGATCAAAATGCTGGAGTATGCTCTTAAACAGGAAAGGTAATTCAGTAAAATGCAAGATAGTCTTCTCTTAAAATTTGGAATAATTTTCCTGCCGTTCTTAAATCTAAATTTTAGTACTTGATGCTTCTGAATTCAGGAAATGTCATTTGTAATAAATGTTTATAATGGTTATAATATGTTAATTTTATTTTGTTGTTAACATTTAATAATGACCAATAAACTGATTTATATGATTAAAAAATTTTTAGCAACAATTTTCCCATACCCTCTTCTTTCTTAAGAAACATGTACTTATTGAACTTTTAATATCCATTTCTTTATGGAATTGAAATAGTTTTTAGTTGTAAAGGAAATTCTATAATGCTTATAACCATTTTCTTATCATCTAATATTACTCAATTTGATGTATTTTCTTTGGAAAAAAATTGCTCTGGCAGAGGAATCTTTTTATAGACTTTTTTGATATTTTGTTCCTTTGCTATCAGCTATAAATATTTCTCCATAAGCAAACCTTACCTTTTTAGTTTGCTAGTGTCTGAGATACTCAAATAACAAAACTTGGGTCATAAGTCAAGGATAATACATCATAAATAAGAGTTTTGGAAATTTTCATATAAATTAGCTTTATTTGCTTTAGTGGATGATGGTCTTTGGATGTGTGTGTGTGTGTGTGTGTGTGCACGCACGCATGCATCAGCGGTGTGAAACCATTCTTTGTTTTGAGTACTTGATAGATATATTGAAATTCTCTATTTTGCTTTATTTTTGGTGATCACATTCTTTTCTCATTATTTTGAAGTTGATGTATGGGCTGTTTGCAAAACTACCATAAAATAACATTTAGCAGATACTATTTATGAATATCAAGAAATAAAACTTTATTGGAATTTGTGTTCAATTTCATGTGGCATCTTTAAATGGCACAAGAGATTGACAACAGGTTGACTTCTTAGTGAAAAATAGGCAGTTCTTTTCCTTGAGAAGTTGATTGAAAACTGGATTGTGGAGATGGAAAAAAACACCCAGACTTTTAAAGGTAGTAATTTTGGAATAATTTTGGAATAATTGAGACTTTATGCTATCTGAATTATAGGCATAAGTGAAGTGAGAAATAATAAAATGGACACTGTTTATTAACTACTATATTGCAGGCCCTGAGGCTTAAAAACAAAGTGACTGGATAGAGTTACAGTCAGGTAGAGCTGTGCTTCAGATTGCTTAGGTCTGTCTGTTTCTGAAGCCTGTACTCTTTACCAGAACATTACAGTATTCGTAAGATGGAAGTATTGAAATACACAGATATTACATAACCAAGAATATTGTGTGTGTGTCCGTGTCCCTTCTCATTAAACATATTAATCTGTGCATCCAGTTTAAGCACTTGTGCTGGACCTGAGTCTAAACATAGGTCATAGTCCTTGTCCTTACTGGCTTACAGTAACTGGAAACACACTTGGAAGCCACAAAGTGCGATGCAGTCTGATCGGTGCTATGGGAGAAATCTGTATGGGATACAGTGGGTCACAAAGAAGGGAGTGGATATTTCTGTCTGGAAGGTGGAAGTAAAAAGGAAGGTGTAATTAGAAGAGGTGAGGCTTGACCATCATAAAAAATAATGTGTTTGAACACTATAAAAAATAATAGACAAGGTTCAGGAAGTAGAGAGGGATATGTTTTACACAGAATAAAGCAGTTTGGTGTGTTCAGAAATTTATAATTACTGTGTATTGGAAGGAAGGACATTAGTTGTGATTTGATAAGTGATCATGGAAAGCCTAACTAAGGAATTGAAACTTTTATCTTACATATAATAGGGAATATTGAAAATTTTCAAAAACTTTCTAAAATAATCTCAAACTAATAGAAGTTGCAGGACCTGTATACCAATTACCCAGATTCATCAATTTGACCACATTTCTGTATATTAACTGTCATCATGCACACTATACCATTGTTTTTCCTGAATCATTCCTACTGAGTTGCAGACATTAAATCCCTTCTCTCCTAAATTCCTTCCTATATATTTTCTAAGAACAAGGACATTCCATTGTATAATTACAGCTTATTATCAAATTAAGGAAATTTAATGTTGATATAGTTCCATTATCTAACAAAGTCCATATTCATATGTTCCAGTGATGATCTTCATAGCATTTTTTTAACCAAATATTCTAATACGATCTTTATAGGTGTTTTTTTTTTTCTGGTTTAGAAATACATATTGCATTTAGCTGTCATGCAATTGAAAGGTTTAAGCATGGAATAGTGTGGAATATATTTTAGAAAGATCATTGTGACTTCATTTTGGGGGATGGACTGGAAAAATCTGTTAATACAGGCAGGAAGATTGTAATAGTTGAGGATGAGACACGATAGCATAGTAGCTGCAGAAGAGAGGAGGCATCAGCTGTGAAACATTTTAAATAGAGAATCTATATAATTTGGAAGATGATTGGGTATAGGAGATGAGGAAGAAAGATAACTTAAGAAAGATTCCTAGGGTTCTGGCAAGTGTGAGTTTTGGAACTTATCAATTGAATTTAAGGATAACAATTAAGAATTTTTAAAAAAATATATATTTTATTGATTTTTTACAGAGAGGAAGGGAGAGGGATAGAGTGTTAGAAACATCAATGAGAGAGAAACATCGATCAGTTGCCTCCTGCACACCTCCCACTGAGGATGTGCCCGCAACCAAGGTACATGCCCTTGACCAGAATCGAACCCGGGACCCTTCAGTCTGCAGGCCGACGCTCTATCCACTGAGCCAAACCGGTTAGGGCCAATTAAGAATTTTAAAAAGGATAAGAATTAAGGGTTTAAAAGCAAATATGGGAGGGACTCATGACTAGAAATGTACACATCAATATTGTGGGTAAAGTTATAGGAGTAGTTGAGACAAGAACAAATATTTTGGGAAGAGAATAGAACCCACAGTAGTCACAGAAATGGAAATGTTTGAAGAAAAGGCAGAGAAAGAAAAGTCAACAAAACAATGGTTGGAGAAGGAAGGAGAAAGTAGTATATTGGAAGCAAGAAAAGGGGAGTTTGACAATTGTAAGTGCCAAACAGACTCCAAGTACATTGTATACTGAAAATAGTCATTTGGATTTGCCAGTTAAGAGCTTGTTGGTATCCTTGCCAGAACAGCTTCAGTGAGGTAGCAGGAACATAAACCAGATCATAGGGGACTGAGGGGTGAGTAGGAAAGATAAAGTGGAGACAGATACAGTCGCATATTTTTCAAGTAGTTTGACTTTGGAGAATAGGAGAGAGAAAGACTGGCCTGGTCCAGGGAAGTTGTTTGTTTTGTTTTTGCGTGTGTGTGTGTTTTTTTTTAAAGAATGGGATTTTCCTGGAAAAGAGTCCCTGATTATGTATCTTTTGAAGTTCATGGAATGATCTGAGATTATTCCTGATATTATGGCACTATTGAAGTGTAATAAAGTATTTCTTTGTGAATTAGACCTCTTAGGTATTTTCATGTTCATTGGACTAGTTTTTTAAAACACAGATATTATAACCGTGCTTGAAAGTATCTGGCTAATTTCAAAATTCTGCTTAGTAAAATCTTTTACATCCAGGCCCCTTGCTAGTCCTATACATATACATGCACACATGACACACATTCACACACATACATATACACACAGCTGTTTTTTGACTCACTTGACACACACACACACACACACACACACACACACACACACACACACACATTGAGGAACTTTTAGATGTTTCTTCTGGCAGAAATGCCCTCTATATCAGTTTATTTGGTGGGGAAACTGATGGTATTTTGAACTTTAGTTAAAATCTCATGTGTTATCTCCTTTTTGGTAGGTCTCCTTGACACCACCTTTGACAGAATTAGCTAATTCCTTATCTGAAGTCCTCTGACAGTTGATATAATTCTGAGCTCTTACCCCACAGTATGCTATAGTTATTTATTTATATTTCTGTCTCTTAGGCATCTTCTTGCCTCCATCCTTATAATTGATTACAAGTTGCAGGTTGTTCCCAGCAACCAATACAGTGCCTGGCGTGTTATAAGAATTCAGTACGTTTATTGGATATAATGAAATTATTTTTAAGGGAACCCAGCTTGTAAACACAGCGTTTCTTTACTTATTTTGTCTTTGTCTAATTTTTTATGAAGTGTTAGTTCATAGTGTTATATTATTTTTTGTTGTATATATTGCATAGAATATTTTGTTTCATTTTTGTAGCTCTGTTGCAGTTTTTCCTAAGAATACTAGAATGCACTATAATGCAGTATTTTGTGTTTGAAAATGTTTTTCTTTATATGCATAGGACAAAAATATATAAATTAATTCCATAAAATTTTATTGCTACTTCTACTCTTTCCTCAGCCAGTTATTTTCAATTTGTGTTGTGACTCCTAGGAGGTATTGTTACTTTGAGTCAATTTAATAGCTCTAAATCTTACCCTCTTATAATAACACTAGAGGCCCGGTGCACAAAAATTT